GGGTTTAGAAACAAATGGACAGCCACCTCCTTAGATTCCTTTTTTGGATTTATAAGGATTAATCTGATTTGATAGATTCCAATATTGATAACCTGTTAGTTTGAACTTGACAAATGTATTGTTGAATTCATAGTTTAGTAGTGATGCTGTCTTGATCTTTTGGTTTAATAGTCTTAATAAAATGTATAAATGATGGTCATAATGCTTTCAGTAAGCAATATGGGCTATTGAGAATCTGGGCAGATATCAACCTAAAAGTTTAACTGGCTTCCCTAAATTAACCTTTAGTTTGCACACTGCAGTACAATTAAATAACTGAAAACTTAAGTATCTTGGGGCAGCAGGAAACAATGAACTTGATAGACTTGGGAGACTCGAAGTATTGCGTCAATCAATGGTTCTCAACCAGGGATCTGGGGCCCCCCTCGGGAGCCACGAGCAGGTTTCAGGGGGGCTACCAAGCAGGGCCAGCATTAGACTCCCTGGGGTCCAGGGTAGAAAGCCAAAGCCCCACTGCATGGAGTTGAAGCCCAGGGCCCTGAGCCCCACCACCCGGGGCTGAAGCCGAAGCCTGAGCAATATAGCTTAATGGGGGGGGGGCCTGCGGCATGGGGTCCCAGGCAATTGTGCTGCTTGCTACCCCAACCATGGCCCTGGCTTTTATATGCAGAAAACCAGTTATGGTGCCACAGCCTGACTGTGGAGTTTTTACAGCATTTGGGGGGAGGGGCTCAGAGAAAAAGGTTGAGAACCCCAGTGCTAAATCACATTTTTAATTAGTTGATGTCGAGGTTGTGTCTAGGACTACACAGGAGGTGGGTGGCTAAGAGAGAAGGAGTTTCCCCTCACTTTAGCCCCAGCACAAAAGCTAGGCACTATTTCAGCCTTGTCTTCTAGTACACAAGAACAGGAACTCTAGTGCCAATGGGGCACTTAAAATACATATGTGGAGAGGACAATGACATGATCTCACTCCTTGCAGGCAAAGGCTATGCATACTGGATCCTACAAAAATATGTAGCAGAAACAATGAATATACCGTCAGTCTAGGGTTGCCAGGTGTCTGTTTTTTCACCAGAATGCCTGGTTGAAAAGGGACCTTGGTGGCTCCGGTCAGCACCACTGACCAGGCTGTTAAAAGTCTAGTTGGCGGGGCCGGTAGGCTCCCTACCTGGCTCCGGGCAGGTCCCCAGAAGTGATGACATGTTCCTTGGCTCCTAGGTGGAGGTGTGGCCAGGGGGGCTGTGTGTGCTACGCTTGCCCCGAGCACTGGCTTTGCAGCTCCCATTGGCTAGGAATCGTGGTCAATGGGAGCTGTGGGGGTGACACCTGGCCTGGCTGTCCCTGTGCCTAGGAACTGAGGGACATGTCGCTGCTTCCAGGGAGCCTTCTGAGGTAAGTACCACCTGGAGTCTGCACGCCTTACCCTCTCCCGCACTGAAACTCCCTTCTGAGCTCCCTCCCGCATCCAAACTCTGTCCCAGATCCTGCACCCCAACCCCCTTCCCAGCCCTGAGCCCCATCCTGCACTCTGAACCCCTCATTTCTGGCCCTGCCCTGGAGCCTGCATCCCCAACCCAGAGCCTATACTCCAACCCCCTGTCTCAGCCCAGAGCTGCCTCCCACACTGCAAACCCCACTGCTCCAGCCTGGAGCCCCCTCCTACACCCCAAACCCTTCATCCCTGCTCCACTCCAGAGCTGGCACCCCAGCATGGAGCCCCCTCCTTTCTGGCCCCACCTTGGAGCCTGCACCCCCAGCTGGAGCCCTCACCCTCACCCCCCACCCATACCCCAACCCCTAGCCCAGTGAAAATGAGCAAGGGAGTGGGGGAGGGGGATGGAGTAGCAGGGGCAGGGCCGCAGAGAAGGGGCAGAGTGCGGACAGGGCCTAGGGGAAGAGGCGGGGCAAGGGTGTTCGGTTTTGTGCAATTAGAAAGTTGGTAAGTAACCCTAGCTTTCACTGCTTACAGAAGTGCCCATCCTTGGGCCTAGTCCAGTGACTGATCCAGTTGCTGGCTTAGACCAGTCCAGGTTATGTTCCATGCTGCCCCATCTAGTTCTGTGCCAATGCCAGTCACAGGTCAGACCAGAGGATTCTGCTCACCACCTGAAGAAGCTGCTTCTAATACTTTACCTGTAACAACATGGAACAGCTAAAAAAGTCTAAGGGCTGCCTGCCTGCAGTCATGTAATTCAGAAAGGGTCTAGACTTTTTCCACTGGGGAAGAGAAGTGCAAAGGGAAAGGTCTGTGGGTCCCTGCCTGTCTGTGCCTGCCTGAAAGGACTTGGGGCTGACACTGAGTTTTTCCTGGGCTTAGGATCCCCTTTTTCTTTGTTTCGTAGACAGTAACTTTGCCACAACTTAGCCTACATATTTCCCCCTCTGGCAATAAAGGCTAGTACTTTGTTTCCTGCATTGGGCTCATACTGATTGCCGTTACAGATGCATGCAGAGATGTTACCTAGGTGCTCTCCCCTACACTGAAAACATTGACTGGCCAAAACAGTGTTATGAACAAAAGTGTAGATCAACCTGGGAATATATTCAGTCCTCTTGGGATTGCTATATATCTGTGCATTAAAACAACTGAGTGGCAATAAAATATTTTTACAGTGCTACTGGAAGATTTTAATGTTAGTCATATAAACAATTACAATTTCAGACTAATACTGTTTTTAACGTGGGGAGCCTTAAATGCAACTTTTATTATGATTTAAATGGTCCCAAAATAAATATGGGAAAGGAGTGTACGCAGAAGACAATTAGAAAAAGATTTCAGAGGCCTGATTTTTCATCTAATACCAGCGTTTATAACAATGAAACCTAATAGAGTTGCACCGGTTTCCCAGAGGGGTTGTGAGAAACTTTTTTGCAAAGTATCTTGAAAATCCACAGATGAATGGTACTTCAACACTGTACTATTAAAGCTGAAATAAAGCTTTGACTAAAGCACAACGAACAACTTTTCTCTGGGTTTGGGGATAGCTGTCTGGCTGCCTAATGGGTGCAAAGAACATGGTTTATTTAAAAAGACTATTTGCATGGAAAATTGTTTGGTTGCTGTGCCTGCTCGAGCAGCTCTTTAGCACTTACAGGGTGCTCATGCTAGAATAAAATGAATGCAAAATATACGTCCTATGAAAACACAGAGCAGTGGGATTCAGCCTGGAGCTGGACAGGAAGAACTCGGGCAACACTTTTTTACCCCTGCAGGACATCTCTGGGTCGTACTCTCAAGGTTTTATCCAGCAGAGTCAAGGGAAGACCCTCCCATAATTCCCTCTGCTTCACGAAAAACAGCCACTATCAAGGTTGGGGCAGAGCCTGAGCTAGTCAACCCTTGGCAAAGGTAAGGTAGCCTCGCCCTGCGGGGCTGCCTGTTCTCCTCCGCAGGGGCGAGGGCCCTCTAGGCTCTCCCTGCTTCCCGTCGTCTGAGCCACCCCCTCCTCCGTTCCCGCCCGTTCCGCTGGTAGGGTCAGTACTGCACGTGCCCGCCCTCCCAGCCTTAATACGCGTAGTCCTGAGGTGGGAGGGGCTGTGGGAGGAGCCCAGCGGCCCCGCGAGCACTGCGCCTGCGCGGGGGAGGGCAGCTCTTTGCCCAGTTTTTTTTTGTGGCCCCTAGCCTGCGTCGTTGCGCCGTGCCGTCATAACTAAAAACCGCTGTGACGTAGCAAGCGGTGGATCTACGTATGTAAATTTCATCCTTCCCCTCTCCCCCACGGCGCTCGGCATCCGGGCTCTTTGGGCTGGAGCGGCCCTGGAGCGGGTCCCCAGCGGGTCAGCACGGAGCGGGGGCGGTGCAGCCTGAGGGCCCGGTGGGGGCGGGGTGTATATGGCGGCGGCTCTGTCCGCCCTGGCTGCTAGGCTCTCGCAGTCGGCCGCCGCCAGGTCCTACGGGGTCTTCTGCAAGGGGCTGACCAGGACCCTCCTCATCTTCTTCGACTTGGCCTGGAAGCTGCGGATCAACTTCCCCTATCTCTACATCGTGGCCTCCATGATGCTCAACGTCAGGCTGCAGGTGAAGGGGGGCGGGGGGGATTCGCCGTCCCCGTCCCCGTCCCCGCCGGGGGGCTTCGCGGGAGGAGGGGCGGACGTGGCTGCGCTTGAGTCGGGCCATTGCAGGCGCCACTAACTCTTCCCTCTCAGCTCGGCTCAGGTGCCCGCGGAGCTCCCCGTGCTGCCAGGGACGCAGGGCACCGTTGTCTTCTTAATCTGACTCAAGGGAAACTTTTGCGCTCGCTCCCAAGTGGCGTGAGCTTCAGGTTGTGGCTGCGATGCGTTTTGTGCACGTCCTGACTCGGGAGGGCGTTGTGCCACGAACACGTTAAAAATTCTGCACACGATATTTTAAAACTCGGCGGGTTTTATTTGTCAAGAAATAAATGCAGGGGCTCCAGCGTGGCAGTGGGGAGCACAGGCCACTGGCTGCGTGGAGGTGGGAGATCACCTCAGCTCCCCCCCCCAACCCCAGGACGTGGACTCAGGGCCGGGTGCAACATCACCACTGACACAGCATAAGGACTGGGCCAGCCCCAGAAACACCCTGGGATCCTGCTCCTCTATGGCAGGTGTGGGGCAGGCAGGATCCAAGTGTGGGGGGGATCCAGGTGTGGGACAATCTGGATGCAGGCAGCTCAATGAAGAGGTTTAGGTGTGGGGGACATCTGGGTGCGCACAGGTTCATTGGGGGGGTTCCAGGTGGAGGGGCAATGGGACTCTGCAGGGGCTTCCAGGTGAAGGTGGTTGGGGCTCAGCGGGGAGGGCTGTGGGAGAGGGGCTTGGTGGGGTGGTGGTCTGGGTGCAGCTAGTTGGGGGTCAGTGGTGGGGTCTGGATGTGGGCGCTCGGGGGTGGGGCATCAGGGTGGGGGTTTGAGTGCAGGGAGCTTAGTGGGCAGTGGTCTGGGTGCAGAGGTATGGGTCTGGGTGCAGGGGGGTTCCTGATGCAGGGGTTGAGGTTTAGTGGGGTGGGGTTTGGGTATGGAGGGCTTGGGGAGTTCTGGATGTACCATGTGAGACTTGGTAGGGGTAACTGGGTATGGGAGGTCCAGATGCATGGGGTTTGGGTGGATGCGGGAGCAGCTTCCCTTACAGTGACCCCTCTTCCCATAGCTGAGGAGCAATGGGGGCATGAAGCAGGGGAGGATGCTGAGCTTCCTGCAGCTGGGGAAGGTTTCTGGGGGTGGGTCTGACACAGCCCCAGTCACTCCTTTCAGGGGAAGAGGAAGTCCTGTCCTCTCTTGTCTCCAGCCCAGATGGGACTAGCAGCTGATCCCGTCTCAAGGGAGGAACCACTGGCTGGAGTGTCCCCAGCCCTGTGGTGATTTATCTCTCTGCCAGCTGCTCCAGGTGCCTGAAATGATGTACCTGCACTGCTAGGGATTGGTGTGTGACTGCTCTTGCAGCTTCCCTTTGCTTCCCTGTTTGAAAGTCATTTTTCTGCGGGGAAGCAAAGAAATCTGCGGGTGACATGAATTCTGCGCATGTGCAATGGTGCAGAATTCCCCCAATCCCCCATCCTGTTGTGTAAATTTAAAAACAAAGACAAGTACGATTGTGGCTATGGTGTTATCGGATCCTACACAGCACAGTCACTATAATAAGCAATAAGTGACTATTATACCGCTCCTTTAGCTTGCATGTCATCTTGTTTTTCTTTGTAGGATACATGTCATATTTAGTGTTCCAGTTTGTCTGTCTGTCTAAATAATTATTAGCATATATAGGTTGAGACAAAATCAGCATAACTACCCAAAGGAGCAGTAAAAATTAGTTTTCTGGTAGAGATTGACTTTCAAATTCAATAAAAATTGTCCTACTAGGAAACCCAGGATAACTTGATGCTTACAGTAAAATATACATTTTTACGCTTTTGATCTGAATGCAAAACAAACTATTTGGAGCCTGCTTTTGCAAGATACAGAGCTCCCGCTATTTCATCTAGGGGGCCAATGGGAATTGGAAACTCCTCATCTGGAGGGTTGGGCCTTTACAATCTGCCTAAGGATGTGAGCCTACTCTCACAGAAGGTGGTGAATGTTTTGCTGTTGACTTCACTGGCAATAGAAGAGGGGCCCTGATGAGGCAAGCACTTGAACAGCCTTTCAGGCAGATCAAGCAGCTACTCAGTAGGAAGGAAGAAGGGGGAGTGGGAGTGACTATAGAAAAGTGGGGAGGGATAGCTCAGTGGTTTGAGCATTGGCCTGGTAAACACACGCTTGTGAGGTCAATCCTTGAGGGGGCCATTTAGGGATCTGGGGCAAAAATTGGGGATTGTTCCTGCCTTGAGCAGGGGGTTGGACTAGATGACCTCCTGAGGTCCCTTCCAACCCTGATATTCTATGAAGGTCTCTGAAGGCTTGGTTGTGGTATGTTAGAGGACAGATGTTATGACCACTTGAGGCCCGTAAAGGATGAAACTTCTAAATCTAGCAAATAGAATGATAAACTGATAGGGAGACCGAATGGACCAGAGGATTGACGCATTGGATATGGAGACTTTCTCTTCTTACACCTGTCTTTCTGTGCTACAACTCTTAAAATTTGTAAATAGTTAGTGACATGTCTGGATATAAGCCATGTTTAGCTTCACACACAGTATTCAGTTAGTAACAATGGCAGCTATTTCATCCTTGTCTACTGCCTGTGTTGGCAGATCTTGTAATAGGATCAGCATCCTGGTTTGTTGCAATATACATTGTAACCCCTAAACATGCTTGTGCAATCAGTTTGCCTGGTGGTCTTTCCTCTGCGCTGTGTATGTTGTTCCATGTGCTGTCTGTGCCAATCTATGTGAACATTCTCCACACAATTAACCCACTGCTGTGGGCTTATGGTTGCCCAGTTTTTCCATTGAGTGCCTTGATACAAAGTTAGCAAGCACAGAAGGTAGCACACACAAACATGTCTTGGTGAAAATGAAACATTATTAAAACAGCTTTGATGGACATAGTAGTTGAGACTTTGCCTCTGACTGACTTTAATGTCCATGTTTAAAAATTAAAGGAAGAGAGACATTTAAAACTGATCTCTGATGTTAAGCCTCTGATCACTTACATACTGAAATCTTATTGGTTAAAGTAGAGAGTATTGTTATGCAATAAGTTTTCAGATTTGTCATTCGCTGAGTCACCTGTGATGCTTTCCACTACCCAACAAAGGTAAGTTCTAACTCATTGAATTTAAACTGCAAAAGAGGAGAAACCAGCATTAAATGTGCAACAGGGTAGAGGGACACTTGCTATTAGAGGCCATTATCTTAAATTTTGTGTATAGAAATAACCTTTTATAGTATTAATATCCACTTTCAGCTGTATATGATAAATCTGCTTGAACATATTCAAGGAAAAGAGATAGTATAGTTTGTAATGAGGTCCCCCTTTTAGGTTCCTCCACTACGTTCTGCTATTGAGCTATTCTTTTTTTCCTTCATGATATGGAGATCCCTAAATAATACCTGGTAATACTGATATGTAGTTTGGACATGATGAAAAGGTGTATATTTTACTTTAAGAGAAGCAACTGAAGATGGAGACTGACCATGAGTTAATTTCCTGTATTCATTTTTTTTCTTTCAGGTTCATATTGAGATCCATTGACTTGTGACTTGCTGTGCTTATTGTCTGTGTTGCAGCTAGGGTTACTAATATTCTGTATTGCTGTTTAACCAAATGCAAAGTCTGAAGGACAGAAGAGCTATGATTGTCTCCCATGTGAATATGGAGGAGGAAGAAGACTTAAACCATGAACATTTATGTGAAAGTGGCCCAAATAGCCAAAATGAGATCCTTCACCTTCCAGACGTGTGTTCCTTGTTGAATAATTCTCACATTGATGTTAATAGTAGCTTACAAAAAGAATTCTTTTCTCTTAAGATCAGGAATTGCTCTTTATTTAAGGCTGTACCTTTGCCTCATATTGGCAAGAAAATGCCTCCTCATTTGAGTGAACCAACAAGGTTAAATTTAAGTGCAGCTGTCTCGTCAAAGGATTCATCTCATCTGCTCTTTTCAGCTGAGAGAGGACGACTTGATAAGGTTTTTAACCACTTTGATAGTACTTCTGTGACAGAATGGCTGGAGAAAGCATATAGTTCCATTAGTGACTTGGGTGTCTGGTGTTGCACTGGAGATAACTTTGTACATTTTGCACATTTCTGGCTGTCAGAGCTACATTACAATCAAAAAAGGCAATTGTTGGAATTAGAAATGGGTATTATTGAGGATGAATTGCAACTTGCATTTCTTGAGGAGTTGGATTCTGAACTGCAACCTTCTGATCTGCATTCCATCCTTGCTGCCACATTGAGTGAATATCCTATGGGACTACTGAGCAACCAGAAACTGTATATTTTCCTTGACTATTTAAACATCATGTCTTCAGAGCAAACAACTGGATATAAAAAAATGCTTTCAAGTGTAAAATATACAACAAATAATCCTCAAGTAACACAGTGGCTACTAGCTGTACGAGCTTTTGTGCTAGCAAATCTCTGGCATGCAGTAGTGAAGGTAAATGCAAAATAATGCTGAAATTTTGATAATGGCTGTTTTTAATATTAATAGAAAAATATATATGATTAAATTAAACAGCGCTGAGACAAAGTTAGAGTTCAGGTTTTAGTGAGAGCTATGCAACTAAAATTAAATGGCATTTGGAGTTGCTAATAAAACACTCTTGTCTAAGTAATGGGAAATATTCTATGGAATACCATAACTTCTGGATTCAGGAGATTTTAATTTGGCTTATTTAGGATTCATACAGCTCTCAAATGAGTTTCTCACATTAAAGCTGTCTGAAACAGTTTTGGCTTTAATTTTATAGCACTGATTTTTTTTTTTTTTTTTTTAAAGGGTCTGACCTAAATCTGTGCTTTTGGCTGGTGTTTATAGTCCCCTATTGGAAAGTTCCTACCTTTAGAATTCAATCCATCTATCTCAGCACAGTTATTGTTTTTTAAACCTTTGACTCCAAAAGCATTGTGTATATCAATTAACTGAGAGATTCTGAAGGTGAGAACTCCACTATAGGACATCTCTCAAAACAGTTTTTTTTTTTTTTTTAAGAGAAGCGGTGTTAGTTTCATTTAAAGAATGTCTTCAGTGAAACTTGCTGGTGTGCTGTAGACTAAGGCCTATCAGTGTCTCCCTTATAAGTAACTATAGTTGCAGGGGGTTGTCTCCTTTCTTTAAAAAACAAACCTTAATTATGACTGAATCTTACTGGAAATATGAAGCCCACTCGGGGATGGGGGAGTGGGGCTGATGTGCCCAGAGCATTGAGGCAGAGGTGTGAAAAGATAAAAACTCTAATTTTTTGCACTCCCCTGATCCTGTTGCAGTTCTGGTGACTTGGTCCCACTGCATCCTGAGGGCAGCTCTGTGGTGGCTGCAAACAGTCCTGTAGGGACCAGAAATGTGGCTAGTAACGTGCAAAACATAGGGCCATGTCCCCTTTTCCCTGCTATGCTGGCAGGCTGGTAAACAAATGTTTACACTGCCTCTGTAACACTGAAATATCATCCTTACCCTGAGATGATCCTTCCTAAGCCTATTAAACTCTCTTTTGGACAAGCTTATGCCAACAATTCTTTGCAAATTAGCCACATTGCATTGAAGAATTTGGCCCTTAAGAACTGATTCCACAAACCCGTATTCATATGAGTAGTCCTATTGATTTCAATGCCCCAGGTTGTTGTTATTTTCAAAATTTTGAAAATAATTCAATACACCTTTAGGCTTCTAGGAGTTCAGAAAAGAAGAAAAGTTTCTCTTTTGTTGCTTTCAGAAGTGGCCTTTTATTTGCTTTAAGTCCCAAATATGGATTGACTTATGTGTTGCAGTAGAAGGAAGAGATTAAAAATATTTCTAAATTTAGAAAAAAAATTATTTCATGTGCACTTTAAAATTTATATATGTAGTTTTAGAGCTTAGATCACATGTGTACCAGCTACATAATCAGCAGAGATGTCAAAGTAGTCATACATTATAGATAGTAAACAGCTGTGAGGGGAGCTGTTAATGTCTTGGGCAAAAATTAGACTGTAATGGAACCATTATGTGTTCTATAACTCATGTCAACTTTGTTTTTAGTAAAAGCTCACAGTTTTGCGCGGTGAGAATACATAGTCAATAGCATTAGAAATTTGACAATTCTCTAAAAAGTCAATACTGAGTTGTAGATTAAATTATTTAAAGCTACTGATCTATTATGGAAAAGGATGAAAATTGTTAATTTAGAAATTTTTCTCCCTGCTACTTTTTGGGGGCAAGTGACGTAAAGTTTTTTCTTATTTTTAAAGCTATAGTTATGGGCAAAGAATTAGGATCACTTTTCCTATACATTAAGTGTTTCAAAAGTTCGTCTCCATTTTTTGCACTTGGTTGCAGTTTTGTATCTGCATTTATTGTTGCATGGACATCTAAGAACAATGTACTCCAATTATTTATGCTTGTAAAGCCAGGCTGAACACTTTGTCCCTTGGTTTATCTTCTCCTGGTGCATGTTTCTTTCTTAATCATTCCTCTTCTTTTTGGTGACATCAGTTACTTTTAGAGATGATTTTGATGTACACAATGTCTGGGAATAAGGAGGAGCAAATGAAGGTGTAAGAAATAGATTGCCCCCCTCACCCCCACTTTTTTTTTTTAAAACCTCATAAAGACAAACATAGCAAAAACAGCCTGACTAGAATGTTTTTACATAAGCCTGTTGTAGGGTGGCTTTAACATTCCTTTTGAATGTTGTGAACAAGTTGTTCTATGAAGGGACTTCTGGTATGATGATTATTGTATACTACAGACATGATCACATAGTCTTGTCATGGCGAAAATATCTATTAACTTCCCTGAGTGTGTGGCTTTCAGCCATGATCATGGGATTAGGTTAAACAGTCTGCAATAACTAGACACAGAAAGGTGATTGAATTGTCATTTGTCTCCTCTATGTAATCTTTTAACAACATTTAAAGAGTGTTAATTCTGAGGGAATTAAATCCATTCTAATAATAATAATTTAAGATGCCTTGAATTTGATTTGTTGTAAACCTAAAAGGTAACTTAAACATTCCATCTGAGACTGAAATAAAAGGATGATTTAGTGTGGTAGCATTTCACATGCCATACACTGCACTTCAAGGCTGGAGAAGCATAAATCGAAAGCAGTATTCTTGCACTACTAGAATTATCTGGCAGAGACAGCAACACAGAAATGTCAGTGTCTTCCCCCTGGGAGGGAGAATTGTAAACCAAAGGGGAGGTAGCCTTTCATAGATGGGTAATATTTATACACCTGGCTACTGTGTACAGTTATGTGTACACCATTAATAATTTTTCACAATACCTGATGTGATGGTCTCATCTCAAAAGAGGGAAAATGTCTGGACTAAAAGCATTGAATCGGTTTTCAGGGAGTTTCATGGCCTCAGTAAATCCGATGTAGGACTCAGTTTTCACAGTAAATGCTTCTCTAGGGTTGAGATTGTCCTAAGGAATCTGTTGTAGTAGGAAAGAATATATTTTAGTGGGGTGGGTAATTTCACAAGACTAGAAGATGGCTTTTTTTTTTTTTATACTTCCAATCTTTTGCTTTCTAAGTTATGGATGTCAGAAGTATTTAAAACATCGAAGTAAAATATAAGACTAGTCACTAAACAACTTAATGCTTTTAAAATTCAGTTTTATAAGGCATTGGTCAGTACCAAGCTCCTTCCTGAACTACATATCAAGAGTTCTGTTTCTGCTACTACAAAGCAAACAAACGAAGTGGTTACAGAAAGGTAAGAAAATTAAAAATTTAGTATTGAGAATTATCTAGTAACTAACTTTATAAACACATTTCTTGACTGTTGTGGAACTTAAGCAAATACTGCACTGCTCTTTTTAAAGATCACTTTAAGTATGTTTAAAACAAATATTGAATAATGCCTTGAGCCTTTTTTATGTGCCTGTGCAGAACTGTATGTGTATAGGCAAAACCACAGCCGTGTGTTTGAATGTGTAAACTGTCTTGGCCCTTTAGTGTTAAACTTCAAAAAGAAACTGTACTAAATATCAAGGCTAGTAGGTACTGCCATTCATGTAAATTACATGTATACCTCACAAGGAAACTTCATGGGCCCAGGCAAGGCATACCTGCAACATATTATGGGAACTGCTTGTTGTGGCTTATTTTCTGAGTTTTGAGGAACATACGTGCTTTGACTGAACTTTTTATGTTGTGTGCTGGAAAAAATGTGGACTTTCTTCATAGGAGCAGGTCTTTAGCCTCTTTCTCATACTTTTACCAGTTTAGCAGAGAAAATGGTTTGGTCCTGTATACTTACTTCCCTCCTGCCCACATCACTACCCTCTCCTATTTTGGACAGGCTCCTCTGTATTTGGTTATCATAACAAATTTTGACAGTGAATGAACACTGACATCTGTCATGAGAGCTTATCAGTTTACCTATTAGTCTTATCAGATATACCACCTCAGTGGTAAGTTTATTTTGTTTGCTTTTTTTCTCTAAACCAGCTGCTTTGAAAAACATTTACCTGACAGTTCAAATTCCCACTCTTTTTACTGTTATGATTGTGAATTGTAATCTTATTTATGTTGTCAGATACTTGTGGCATCAAATCTATCAAGGCCTGCAGCTAGTAACCAAAATAAGCACGTTAACTTATGCTCTTTGGATTTCTTGGTAAGATACTGTCATGAGTTTTTAAGAGAGGTTGAACTGTCTGAATAAACTTGGTTGCAATCTTTTTTCATAACTATTGTGTTAAATGAGGCATGTTTTATGACATTGGCTTGATCTTTTTTCTATAATACTTGAAAGATGTTGAAGCTTTTAGACAAAGTAACTTTAAAAATAAGTTCTATTTACGAATCTTTAATGTGATGAACCTCTCTTGAAATTAGACTAAAATCTATCATGTCCCATGTAAAATACACAATACACCTCCTCAAATAATGATTTATAGATCCACTTATGAAAATTCAGATAATGTTTTTCTCAGCCCATTCATATTTACAGATAAAAATTTTTCATGTTAAATACATTAAGGACATGTGGCTACTCGTTTTGACACCCAAATGTCAGAATAATAGCCTGAAAGTGATTGATTGAACATCATGCTCTAAATTTCAGTCATTGATTCTTTTTTTTTGGTTGATTTTTGGATTGGTATGTGTTTTGAGGCTGGTCCTGCAGTGCTTGTGCAACCAAAACTCCCATTGACATCAAGGGGAATTTTGGGTGTCCACAGGATGCAGTATTAAGACTTGGGTTCAGATGGTCATTAAAGTGACACTGTTAATCTGAAACCTAATCCATTTCAAAAAGTAATCTAAGGGACTTTCAGGAATGGTCTCGGAGACTGTATAACCCTGCCCATTTTTGTTACTACTTTTTAATTTAAAAAAAAAAAAGTCATGTTTTTCTGGTGTGTGGAAGACCTATACAGACTGGGAAACTGACTTAAAGTTAACAAACTGAAACAAATAACTTTGTTCTCTAATCTTTTGGTTATAGTCATCTTGAGTATTTACCACCTACTGTTAGGACAAGCAATTTTTGAAGTTGACAGTCTCTTTAAAATTAATTCACTCTAGATTAGCTAGTGCCTGATCTTCATCACTGAAGTCAGTGGGAGCCTTGTCATTGGCTTCAACTGACACAGAATCCATCCCCAAACAGTGGGTAACAATTTAGTTTTCAATGCTTATATTCATGGTAGTGGGAATTGTCTTGGATGTAAATGCTAAAACTCTTATTATAGGCTTTTGTACACAAAACAACTAAGTACTCTTTTTGGTCATTCTTTAAAACTCTTACTGCAACATAAAAATTGAGAAGGTCTCCTAGGGTGTGTCAATCAAAAAGGTTACAAATGTATCTAAATGTGGCATACCAATTTCATGTAAGGAAAGATGTTTACAACAACTTTGTCTGTTTGAAACTCTACTATACTTTAACTCATGAGCGAGGATTTTCTGTTGTTAACTTAAAAACTTGTTCTGAGTGAAAGCAGGCTTTTTAATCATAGCACTAGCACTATATAAACTTATAGAAGCTGATGAATTATGATGCTGCTTACTTACACCACAGGAGGGAGTTAAACATCAAGCTTTTGAATAATTTTACTTACCTGACTGCACAGATTTTTCCAGTACAGTGTTTCAGTAGCCAAATCCATTCTCAAATATGCTGAATTTAACTTACTCCTACGGATTGTTACTGCAATTTTGTGTAAAAATGTATAAAGTTCAATATACAATAGTAACTTATTGTGATTGTTTACAGTTGAACTCTAAATGCCAATGAATGGTTTTATCAAACTGTTTAAAAAAGAAATAAAAGTGTTTTTAAAAACAAATTGCTTGTTTATTTTCTGATTTTTATAAACTGCAGTGTATAGTTAAGTACTATGATAACAATCTATCTTACAAAACACAGATCATAGAGGCACTGTGGCTGGTATACAAATAACATCAAAATGCTGCAGTTCTCTGTACTTTTTAAAGTGGGGAGAAAATCTCAAGTGTCCCTTCCACAACAAGAATTGTAAGGGGGGAAGGGAGACTCCTCAGTACACAAGTATGAAGATATTGTCCTGAAGAATATGTAAACCAGTTCACAAGACACTGCTTCTCTTACCATACAAGTTTAGTTTCTTTAAGAGATGGAATCCAAGCCAGAACTTACACAACAGATTTTGCTGAGTTCATAATATAGCAAGTATTCTCATACTTTGTATTTCTTTTTTATATCCATTCCTTACTCATAGGTGATAAGCAGTAGTAATACACCAATAATGATTTATCCAAATCCAGGATATTTCTAAACTGACTAGCTCTAAATTTGCATAATCTTTACATAATACCCAAGTTCAACTATGGATTTTAAAAAAAAGGTAGTATATATGAAATTGCATGTTAGGGCTAGAATGGTGCATCATTGCATGGATCATGTCTCTTAATCTCTCACTCCTCTTAACAAGAGCACAGATTGTACCATGGGAGTAGCTTGTCAAAGTTACAAAGGCTGAAACATAAAAGACAGCCCTTTTTATTTGGAGTGATACTTAGAGGCCAAAACTATAGTTTCCCTCGATCCACATACATGACTTCCATTAAAAGGAGGAGGAATTCTGTATGTGGAACAAGGAGAGAATATGCGTTCTTATTTCTGGATTTAATGGGTGCAGTCACTTGGGATAAATTGTAGAAGCAGAGCTACCTCAGTGACCCTATCTGCTAAGGATAGTAGCCTCACATAATATGCTGGGGTCCTACCACTTTTTTTCTGTCCTTGGTCTCTTAAAAATGACGAGGTGTTTGGTTTTTTGTTTTTGTTTTTGTTTTTTCCAAAAGACCCAGATCAATCTCTCATAATTCCCAAAGGACCAGAAGTGCTGCAAAACCCCATTAAGGGAAACTTTCCTTGAGAGGTGGAGATTGGGGGGCTACAGAAGAGGCCCTATTGGACTGTCGGGTGCTGGGTCTAGAGATAGCACCTCTCCCTTCTAAACATACAGGAGGAAATCTTCACATGAAGGATCTCCTCTGCATGCATATAAGGAAGGGATGCTCTGAGCCTTTTCCTGCCTTTAATGTGGCTCTACTTTATTCCCCGAACCACGCACCACTTAGCATCTTGACTTTAATTTTTGTTCATCTTGCTGAATGACTTCTTCAGGATCAAGGTAATTTTGACTACCTAGTCACTTTACCAGATATTCCAAAATTATATTTCCATGATTGCTGGTTAAGATACTTAAACTAACAAGTTTACTCCCTTCCTCTCCATCTTTTCCTCAATCTTACACAATTTCTGTTGTAAAATTTATATTAATTCAAGATCATGATTTCTACATCAAGTGGAAATGGAAAGCTACCACCACAATTACTACTAATTGACAAAGCCACCCAAAGTCATCACTACAATTATTACTAAATTACACCAGGATTGACCAGACATGGAGAACGAACTACCTTCCTGGCTTTGGTGAGGAATATCATAACTGCTGCAGGTTGGAGGACACTCTGAGGCAAATATGCTGCTGCTGTTCTATATGCTATATTTATTCTGTAGAAAAATGGGACTTTGGTCTCCAGGGCAATTGGGCGGGTACCCTTCTCGAACACAAAATTCACATTTACAACTAAAAATTTTTTTTAAATGGATAGTGAGTGAGGGTAAAGGCTCTTGAAAGCAGCAGCAAAGGGAAGGAAGAAATGAATACTGGAATTTCCTAACAAAGCATATATTAAAGTCACAACTGTGCCATTTTTATATATGCAGATAGTCATCTTCATAGATCTGTAATGTTAGTGAAAATCCAGCTTTTGTCTACTGTAACTTTTAAAAGTTTGAATTGTTCTTTCCTTCATGATTCTTTGAGTTGCAAAAGTCAAGCTTTCTGTCCTTTGCTCCTTTTTGTGCCATTTAGCATCATTTCAGCTATGGCTGCAGGAACGTACACTGCTTTGGAGGCAAAGTCGTGTGCGAGTCAAACATGATGCATTACATTCACTGTTTCTCTTTGTGGAAAAAGCCATGGTTAGCAAAATGCTGCCTTTAAAGCAGCAGAAGGAGCTCATATCTGACATATGATCTAAAGTCTCCAAAAACACACTGGCTATTCCCAGGTTGTTTCCAATGCAATTATAGCAGGATTGTTCTTTAAAAATCACCTGCAAAAGAAGTTGAAGGGATTTTTTTCTTCTTCTTCACTGAGCCATAAAGAGAGCCTGAAAGCTGGTTGATTTTTTTTGTTTTTTAAATCAGTTCAGATTGTCTGATGTGGAACTCTGGCCTCCTGATGTCAAAATTCTATCAGACAGAGCTAAGAAACTGAGAAAAGGGAAAATTAATGTAAGTATATAAAACTTCAACGCCAAAGTCCAATAAGCACTTGTGAGAGAGACCACCTTTACTAAAATTCAATCCTCCAACTTCTTCAGTTAGGCAGTGACAGAGCTTGCCTAATCAACATTTGAGATCACTAAGAAGTCCTACAGCAAAAGTAGGGAAAGCTAGATGTGACTTTCTGGATACTTCTAAGCTGAATAAACAAGCAAAGAGGAAAAAAATCTCTTCAGTTCTTTTTGCATTATAAAGACCAAAAGGGCACAAAACCAATTTCAAAAGAATAATTTGCATGTTGCCTTTGAGGGAGGAAACTTCGAGGTCTTATCGTCAACCTGTTTAGTGCTTATAAAATGTTTTGAAATCTTCTGAGTTGTAAGAAGAGCAAAGTTTTTACAAATATTGTATCTTCTTGAAAGATTCTGTTATGTATTCCTTAATCTCTTAACTTAGACTTAAAAAATCCACAGGATGTAACTCTTCTAAAGCTGAGTTTCCTATTGAAAGGATTCACAAGAGCAAAGGGTAAAAGGAAAAAAAAATCCTGAAAGACAAATGCTTATCTGTTGCTCACTGAGCAAAAAGCCCAAGTGACACAGACGACCATCTGAAACTTTGCTCTCATTTACTTGCTCTGATGAGCAATTACTCTCACTTTTATTCTCTTACTCTCATCTGTTCTGAAGTCTATGAAACAGCTCGTGTGAGTAGCTGCTCACCAGAGTAAGTAAAAAATTTTGCAGTCTGGCCTTTTTACAAATTAAATCTCTGGATCAGCAGCCCATCAGTAGGGGAGTCAACCTTATCCCGTTTGCCTTTTCTTGTCTACCTTTCAAATCCAATATGCATACTGGTGGCCCGGAACGATAAATTTCTGCCTAGTGGCTTCCTCAAGGATTGGAGCAGCACTAACATTTCTGGTTTCTGATCTTTGCTCATAAGCAGAATTCCCTAGAGTGAAAGAAACAAGGTATGAAAATTGCTTGGTTTTGTGCCATTCAAAAAATGCTACCATTTCTGGTCTAGGTTATGGACTAATCGGTCTGAAGCAGTTCATTGCAAAATCTTTCTTGAAACCTCACCTCATCAGTCTGGTGTTTTTTTTTTTTACTTTAAATTATCAGATACATATATATTCAATATTTTTATAAACAGACATTTTAATAGTACTCTCTAGCATCTTCCTAAAGGCTTGCCTGCTATGCACCTTCAGCCACTTATTTTGAACCAGGTTTCTGGATGATGAACTTTCTATTAGACTGAAAATATGAGGGTATTGTGTAAGCTTAGCTTACACATCTGTCTGTCTGTCTTACATTCCTCTCTTGCTCTTCAGAGGAAAACTAATCAAGGCAGACCAATATAAGTTAAATGTTCAGCCTCCTTTCATCTTATGCCACCCTCCAGCTGCTTTTGAGTGATAGCGTTTGTACAGACTGTAGCACTTTCCAAGTCCTTCCAGTCTAGTGCTCGTGTCCTCTCTACAATTTGATGGTCAATTCAAAAGCTCTGTGACCTATATTGTTACCACTGCTGAATGTGACTTTCAGAACTCTTCTTACTTCATGTTTTCCTTTGATGCTCAGTCATTCATTTGTCGTTGGTAATTGTATCTTCAGATCACACTCTCCTTTGGCTAAATTACTTGCGGTTGTCAGCAACCTCCTAGCTTGTGCAAGTTGTCATTTCAGGATGGTTTTTATGGGCACTTTGTCAAGCTGTTTTTGACACTTGTTCAATTTTAAATTCATTCTAATGTGTCTTCTTCTAGTATCTAGAACACAGCCTGTAGTCTGAAAGAGTCTCTTTATCTCTTTTATAGCAAGTGCTTTAGGCTCCTTTTTAAAATTTGCACTGTTGAGACAATAATATCCAAAGCCTACAGTTCCATTTTGCTGTTTGCAAATGGCTACTATTACTATCATTATTATGAAAAATGTTTTTATCACTGAAAATACCTGATAAGCCTTTGTTAGCTGTGTACACTTGACATTCTTCAATTGGTGGTCTGCCTGAGAAGGAGTTGCACTTCAATTCCTAGCAGGAATTCCAGGCTTGACAAATATTGACTTAAAGGACAATTTTATCTCTTTTGCTCAGCCCAACAGTCTGAAAATCTGATAGGAAAGGAACACTTCTTCCTATGAATGAGCTGCTACCTGTACTGTATTTGGAAATTATTTTTTAATTGCTATTGGCATCAACCTTGCTTAAAAAGGGATACAACTTTGGATACTGGCAAAATGGAAGCCTAAAGTAAGAAACTGTAAAACAGTTTGGATCATGCTTTAGAACTAGTTTAATTTTAATAATCTTAATGTGGAGTTTAATTTTTTCTGGACAATTACAAAGCTGTGTTTTTGTTGCTTTAATACTGGTTTAAAAATCCCTTGAATATGGTGTCCATTATGGCAGCACTAGAAGGACTCACAATTCTTCCATACTACTATATTTGCTAATTCAAATATATACATTCGCTTGTCCATAAATATATTCCTACAATGGAAGATAAAGGAGAGGTAGTGAAATTTAGTAGCTAGAGCACAGGACTGGTAGTCAGATTACCAATTGCATTCCAGACTCTGCTAGTGCCTGACTGTGTGATACTGGGCAAGTTACTTAATATCTGTCTACCAAAGCTTTCCCTTCTGTCAGGTGGGGATAGTACCAGGTTCCTGAATGCCTTTGAAATTCACTATATAAATACAAAATATCATGATAATGGCAAAAAATAAGAGAATTCACTGTCACATTTAAGTTTAAGCACATTGTCAGAATTTAACAATTGACATACATAACAATGAAATGGCCAAAGATATAGCATACTCCATAGACTTCCACAGTTACAGAAAACCACTAGAAATCCTCGTAAGTTTATAAAATGGCCTCACTTGCTATTTTTTTTTGAATGACTTATTTTATAATGGACTTTGGATGACTTGTTTTTTTATGGCTTTAATGACTGTGCCTTTCTTAATTCTTAGAAAATTATATAGGACTGTAAACAACCATTGGTAATCAGCCTATTACAAACTTCCATGCATTATTTTTATCATTTTATCTTCCTTATGAAGAAATGTTACATACATTTTTCTTTTTCTTCCTCAGAGCTCTACAGAGTGTCCAGCTGGGATATGCTGATGTCTTGCATTATCTTATTATAAACCAGCAGCTTGACCTTGATGCAGTAGATGAAAAAAATCGAAATCTCATATTTTTAGCCACTATATATGACCAACCAAAGATACTGGACTATTTTCTTGACATGGTCAGTTGACTGAAAAAGTTACATTAAATACAATACATTAAAATGTATTAATTAGGAACTCTATAGGGTTTATAACAAATTAGAATGGCTAAAAGGTGTGGGCATAAAAAATTAATTCAGAGCTCCTTAATTTGATTTTTTGAGTGCAAAAGACTCGGATTCTGCCCTGCTCTTCAGTCACTCCACCAGTGATTGTTATTTTGCAATCATATTTCCTATTTTAAAAAATGTTCTCTCTCCCCTCTTGTATGGAAGAACCACATAACTAGAGGAAACTAATTATACTCAAAGGCTGTCAAATGCATAAATAAACAAGATAAAACAGAAAAATAAATGTTTGCCCTCTATTCTTTCAGTTACACTTAGCTGTTATCTGGAAAAATAATAGTTAAAAAAAATATAGAAAGAAGTGTTACTTAATTTGCCTTGTTCCCAAGTGTCAGTGAGGGGTGCAGTTAAATAAAAAAAAAAAAAAATTAAACACAGGTGTTGATTATTAGCGGATGGGTGGGGGGAGGAAGGGGGAGAGAAATTTCTTTATCCCCACAGACAGACTCCAAACTCCAGAGCTGAAGAGTGGTGGTTGTGAAGTCCTACATTAAGTTATGGTAGACATCTTAATGAGCAGAAGCTGACAGGTCTTGGAAGCGCTCTATGTGGTTCTTGGACTTTTCCAGTTTGCGGATAAATTTGGCACCAGCTCTGGCTATCCAACTTTGTGGCATCATATAGAAACTGTTGTTTTCTTTGGCAGAAGCAGTTTCTGAAAGATATCAGCAAGCCCAAAATATTGTTGTTAATTTTAATTTTAAAAAAATACACAGTAAGTGAATTTGCTCATGAAGTGAAAGACTGGTTGCATAGAAAATTGTTGCCTGTTTGTTTAGATTGTAAACTATTCAGATCAGGGACTGTCTCTTACTTTATCTTTGAATAACTTCTAGCACAATGAAGTCCTGATTTGGGCCAGACCCCTAAGTGCTATTGTACACACAATTTTTCCACAGAAGAGCTATAGAAGTAGTGCAAGTTTTCCCACCTTATGATGCTAATGATGCCTTCAATCTGTTTGGAAGCCCACCTTGAACGTCAAGAGGGTACTTCAGTCTTCATGTCCATTCAGTTCTGAGCCTACTTTCTGAGGCTGGATGTTTCTCAAACACCTTAGTGACAGACACTGTAAAAGAACCTAGAGAGAACAAGAGTTCCACTTAGAGCTGACTATTGAATTAGGCTTGATATGTCTACTAAGAAGAGGACTAAAAATCACTGAGTAATTCCACACAGCCACTAGATGGGTGTAATGACCTTTGATCATTACAGGTTTGGGACACACCTGAGCCCGTTACCCAGAGATAAAAGGCTTTATATTGTATTAATATAAAATATGGAGGCGTTGTTCTATGGTCTGAAATATAGATACTTTTCTCATTGTAAATCTGTTTTGGTTGTTCAGCTCAAAAATGTTTTCCTGCTTATTTTTCATTCTAGGGACTTCCCATACCTGATGTAAACCAAGCAGCAGAAAATGGAAACACACCACTCCATGCTGCAGTGAGTACTGGAAAAATGCACCTTGTATCTTTGCTGCTGCATTATCCTGGAATTAATGTGAATTTCCCAAATTCCCAGTGTGATGGAGCTACTGCACTACATCTTGCTATTGTCTATGGTAAACTTTCTCACACATCATATTTTCTATGGTTGCTGTCAGAAGTTTAGACTTCTAAGAGGACTCTATTTTTAAACCCCAATATATGTGGCTTTATAATGTAAAAAAGGCAAAGAATGTTATTGGATTTTTTTTTAACCTTTTCAGTTGACCTTTCAGTACTTGTAGTTAAGGAATCAAATGATTGTCTAAGTGCTTAAGAGCTCTTTGTCTATTTAAAAATATATGTATCTCAGCTCTGCTAAATCTGAGTGAAATACAACCATGTTTTGAAAAGGGATGGGGGAGCAGTTCGTACAAAATATGGCATAATATTCCATGGGAATATTAGTGGCTAGGAAAAAAGCCATATCAGGAAACTCTTCTCTGCAAATCTTGGCTTGCAAAAGTTTGCAGGATAGACCAAGACATTGTGAATATAAGGATACACAAAGTAATGCCTAAAGAATATTGTATGGAAGGATTAGTCTGTGAGGAAGAAAAAAAGTTATGTATCAGGCAGGTTTCAAAAGGTTTTTCCTGTGTGAGGGGGAGACTGTGTTTGATTATCTCTTTAGTGAAGAATTGTTACTGCAGATTTTTATAACTGGACTTACTACATTTTTGTTTTTATGATGTACAAATTCAGAAAATACTTGTCATTCCCTTTTTCATCACCGCACGTTTGAAAGGTCTTTCCATTTTGATTGTGCTGCTAGCATATGGTGTTACACCTGTTAATCTTTATTATATGTTTTTAACAAAAGCAGGCTGACCAATTCTGTTAAAATGTTCTAAGCTTTTATTATATAAAGGAAAAAAACTTCCCCAGAATCTCCTAAAATTCTGTTTTTTGTTTTTGTTTGTTTGTTTTTTTCATTTATACTCCAGTAAATGGAGATACGGTATTCTGTGCAAATTTATTATTAAAACAATATTCTTGGAAATCACGTATGTTGCCTTAGATTGTTTTGGGAATTAAAATAGTGTTTTTAAATTTTAAACAGATATTTAAAATAGGTGAACTAATTTTGTTTTTCCACAAAATATAAGAAATATAGATGTAATATTAACAGAAGTTTTTGGACTCCAAAATCCTCTTCACCATCTTTGTTTCATCTAGGGTACTTGGGAATTTGCTATTTATTGCTGAATGCTGAAGCTGATGTGAAAAGCCTCCTGGGAGATCTAACGCCTGTACAACTTGCTGAGAATTTTGGTAATGAAACTATAACCAAGTTCATAAAGATGCATGTTAAAAAACTGAAACTTGAAAATAAAATGTTTGCCTGACTATGTAAAGCATAATAGCATTTTCCAATGTATCTATTTAATATTGTACATTACACCTATTTTAAACTTCTGACATTACAGTGCTGCTTTTATCTGAGGCTTGGCAGCTTGCCAACATTAATTTTTAGTGATAAATTCTGCTATACAGACCTGAAAGTTTTTATATCTTAGGCCACTTCATTCCGTTATTTTATTGTCTTTCTGGTTTTGTCTGTTCTCAACTAAATATATATAAACATATAAATGAAAGGATACATATAATCTCCTGCATATTAAAACCAACACTGGTTAGTTTTTAGGTATAAAAATACAGATAATATTGATTTCAGTTGTACTAACAGTGAACCAGATTTTTACACTGTTATAAATTAAGATGTTAATCAGTTTGACTCCTAAGTATTTTCTGGATTATTTATGTGTGACATTTTTTAAGACAAGATTTTCAAAAGTGACTAATGATTTTTGGTGTCCCCAAGTATTTGAGTGCCCAACTGAGACCCCTTAAAGGAGCTACATAATCAAAGCATTAACCCTCTGAAAATGAGGCCCCTTTAAAGGGGCTTCAAATTTGGGCATCCCAAAACTAAGGTACAAGAATAACTAGTTAGTTTTTGGGAGCAAGATTTTCAAAAGTAACTAGTAATTTTTTAGTTGATTGTCAAATATTTGTCTATTCTGATTTGACACTGATTCTTTTTTTGTGTGATTATTTTAATTTAAGTACACAAACATATTTCAGATGCAAGTTTTTTGCAGCAATTTTTTCCCCCTTTACTAAGAATCTTGCTTTAGGTTGTGAATATATTTTCAAATTATTCCAAATAATAAACAAGCGTCAAAGCAAACATCTCATATAAAACTATATATTTTAACTGGATGGCAAGGGCAAAAGGAAATAAAACCAAGATTAAGAAATTCTGACAAATTAAAAGTTACTATAGAACACTATACAATTTTGATTACTAGAACACGTGGATTTCATTACGGAATAATTCATATTTAGTGTCGAGGCTTTAAAAGGTTTTACAGCTACTTACCAGAGTAAAATATTGTTAACATACTTGAAATGAATTGAGGTTTACACTTTTTTAATTTTTTTATTAAAATATTAATTAAAACAAATTACAGTTAAATAATGTTACAAAATTTATATGATCTTAAAGTAATAGCTGACATTATTTTATAGCCACCTTTTAGGACATTAATAATGGTAGTGATTTTTCCTTTATTTAGCACTTTTTATGACTAAGTGCTTCATAAAGGATGTTTGTACTTAAAAGGCTTCACCCTTGAGATGTATCCACCTGTGGGCGACAGCCAGTCTATGCCCTGAACACTGAATAGAAGTGGAGGTGAGGAGAAATTCTGGCCAAAGATACCAAGGCAAAGCCTTATTCTTTCAGAAAGTGCTATGTGATCTTTAATATCTCCACAGAGCGCAGAAATTCCATTTAAGCATTCTCCTTCAAGGCCTACGTGCCAGATTTACTTTAACCCTTGGTTTATGGCTAGAGGCGCTAGCTTTCATCCTGGCCACCAGGACTTTTATGCTCTCTGCCCAATATTTTTTTAAATCCTCACCATCTGCTCACTATTGGAGGTTGCTTTCTTACCCTGTTGTTCAGCAGGCAGACGTCCACCTGTTGGAGGCCTTTTCTCTCCCTTTCCTCACCAGTCACTGAGTAAGGGGGCTATGTTTGACTGAAGGGCGGAACCAAGAGGAGTGAACTCAGCGGAGGGATCAGCCAGAGAAAGGATGAGGAGTCTCAGCTCACCCAAGAGAAGCTAAGCAGAGGTGGTAACAGCAGCAATCTGTAGTAGGAGGGCCAATCCGAAGCTGCCTTCTGCTATTCCATATAAAATCAAGACATCAGGAAGAAGTAGCAAAGCCTAGAGTGAGGAAAGCATGGTGGAAGAGAGTGAGCAAGTTGAGGGCCAGAGGGAAAAAGACAGAGCCTCTGCTGAACCAGTGGCACAGGATCAGCTTCACCAGGATCAGCTCCACCACTTAGACAAGGACTAAGAGTGAGAAAAGCCTGGAAGAAAGAAAAAAAAGCCCTTTTCGTGTTTCCCTGTGTGAGGCTTTGCAGCCTCAGAAGAGTAACAGATTGGGGAGGAAAAAGATAGATGGGAGGAAGAATACTTAGGGCAGGGTGACATGAGGTGGAGACAGACTTGTAGTACTCATGAGAAAGAAGAGCTGTTGCTGAAATTTTTACAGGTTCTAGCAGTCAGCCATGAATTCCTTCCCCCAAGAAACAATCACTAAGTATGCAGTGTTTGTTAGTCCCAGGATATTAGAGAGACAAGGTGGGTGAGGTAATATCTTTAATTGGAAAAACCTCTGTTGGTGAGAGAGACAAGTGCTTGAGCTTACACAGCGGTCTTCCTCAGATCACCTTGTGTCTCTAATCATTGAGGATGTAATTAACAAAGGGTATGTCTACACTACGGAATAAGGTCGAATTTATAGAAGTCGGTTTTTTAGAAATCGGTTTTATAAATTCGAGTGTGTGTGTCCCCACAGAAAATGCTCTAAGTGCATTAAGTGCATTAACTCGGCGGAGCGCTTCCACAGTACCGAGGCAAGCGTCGACTTCCGGAGCGTTGCACTGTGGGTAGCTATCCCACAGTTCCCGCAGTCTCCGCTGCCCATTGGAATTCTGGGTTGAGATCCCAATGCCTGATGGGGCTAAAACATTGTCGCGGGTGGTTCTGGGTACATATCGTCAGCCCCCCGTTCCCTCCCTCCCCCCGTGAAAGCAAGGGCAGACAATCATTTCGCGCCTTTTTTCCTGAGTTACCTGTGCAGACGCCATACCATGGCAAGCATGGAGCCCGCTCAGGTAACCGTCACCCTATGTCTCCTGGGTGCTGGCAGACGCGGTACGGCATTGCTACACAGTAGCAGCAACCCCTTGCCTTGTGGCAGCAGACGGTACAGTACGACTGGTAGCCGTCATCGTCATGTCTGAGGTGCTCCTGGTCGCCTCTGTGAGGTCGATCAGGAGCACCTGGGCAGACATGGGCACAGGGACTAAATTTGGAGTGACTTGACCAGGTCATTCTCTTTAGTCCTGCAGTCAGTCCTATTGAACCGTCTTATGGTGAGCGGGCAGGCGATACGGACTGCTTGCAGTCGTACTGTACCATCTTCTGCCGAGCAGCCATGAGATGTGGATGGCATGCAGTCCTTCTGCACCGTCTGCTGCCAGCCAAAGATGTAAAAGATAGATGGAGTGGATCAAAACAAGAAATAGACCAGATTTGTTTTGTACTCATTTGCTTCCCCCCTCCCCTGTCTAGGGGACTCATTCTTCTAGATCACACTGCAGTCACTTACAGAGAAGGTGCAGCGAGGTAAATCTAGCCATGTATCAATCAGAGGCCAGGCTAACCTTCTTGCTCCAATAAGGACAATAACTTAGGTGCACCATTTCTTATTGGAACCCTCCGTGAAGTCCTGCCTGAAATACTCCTTGATGTAAAGCCACCCCCTTTGTTGATTTTAGCTCCCTGAAGCCAACCCTGTAAGCGCTCCTCCCAGCGTCAGAGCAATGGCAAACAATCGGGCATCTGAGAGTGCTGTCCAGAGCAGTCACAATGGAGCACTCTGATGGGGCTAAAACATTGTCGCGGGTGGTTCTGGGTACGTGTCGTCAGGCCCCCGTTCCCTCCCTCCCTCCGTGAAAGCAAGGGCAGACAATCATTTCGCGCCTTTTTTCCTGAGTTACCTGTGCAGACGCCATACCACAGCAAGCATGGAGCCCGCTCAGGTAACCGTCACCCTATGTCTCCTGGGTGCTGGCAGACGCGGTACGGCTTTGCTGCACAGTAGCAGCAACCCATTGCCTTCTGGCAGCAGACGGTGCAATACGACTGGTAGTCGTCCTCGTCGTGTCCGAGGTGCTCCTGGCTGCGTCGGCTGGGAGCGCCTGGGCAGACATGGTCGCAGGGACTAAATTTGGAGTGACTTGACCAGGTCATTCTCTTTAGTCCTGCAGTCAGTCCTATTGAACCGTCTTATGGTGAGCGGGCAGGCGATACAGACTGCTAGCAGTCGTACTGTACCATCTTCTGCCAGGCAGGCAAGAGATGAGGATTGCTAGCAGTCGTATTGCACCATCTTCTGCCAGGCAGGCAAGAGATGGGGATGGCTAGCAGTCGTACTGTACCATCTTCTGCCGAGCAGCCATGAGATGTGGATGGCATGCAGTCCTTCTGCACCGTCTGCTGCCAGCCAAAGATGTAAAAGATAGATGGAGTGGGTCAAAACAAGAAATAGACCAGATTTGTTTTGTACTCATTTGCCTCCTCCCCTGTCTAGGGGACTCATTCCTCTAGGTCACACTGCAGTCACTCACAGAGAAGGTGCAGCGAGGTAAATCTAGCCATGTATCAATCAGAGGCCAGGCTAACCTCCTTGTTCCAATAACAACGATAACTTAGGTGCACCATTTCTTATTGGAACCCTCCGTGCAGTCCTGCCTGAAATACTCCTTGATGTACAGGCACCCCCTTTGTTGATTTTAGCTCCCTGAAGCCAACCCTGTAAGCCATGTCGTCAGTCGCCCCTCCCTCCGTCAGAGCAACGGCAGACAATCGTTCCGCGCCTTTTTTCTGTGCGGACGCCATACCACGGCAAGCATGGAGCCCGCTCAGCTCACTTTGGCAATTAGGAGCACATTAACCACCACACGCATTATTCAGCAGTATATGCAGCACCAGAACATGGCAACGCGATACCGGGCGAGGAGGCGACGTCAGCGCGGTCCCGTGAGTGATCAGGACATGGACACAGATTTCTCTGAAAGCATGGGCCCTGACAATGCATGCATCATGGTGCTAATGGGGCAGGTTCATGCTGTGGAATGCCGATTCTGGGCTCGGGAAACAAGCACAGACTGGTGGGACCGCATAGTGTTGCAGGTCTGGGACGATTCCCAGTGGCTACGAAACTTTTGCATGTGTAAGGGCACTTTCATGGAACTTTGTGACTTGCTTTCCCCTGCCCTGAAGCGCATGAATACCAAGATGAGAGCAGCCCTCACAGTTGAGAAGCGAGTGGCGATAGCCCTGTGGAAGCTTGCAACGCCAGACAGCTACCGGTCAGTTGGGAATCAATTTGGAGTGGGCAAATCTACTGTGGGGGCTGCTGTGATGCAAGTAGCCCACGCAATCAAAGATCTGCTGATATCAAGGGTAGTGACCCTGGGAAATGTGCAGGTCATAGTGGATGGCTTTGCTGCAATGGGATTCCCTAACTGTGGTGGGGCTATAGACGGAACCCATATCCCTATCTTGGCACCGGAGCACCAAGCCGCCGAGTACATAAACCGCAAGGGGTACTTTTCGATAGTGCTGCAAGCTCTGGTGGATCACAAGGGACGTTTCACCAACATCAACGTGGGATGGCCGGGAAAGGTGCATGATGCTCGCATCTTCAGGAACTCTGGTCTGTTTCAAAAGCTGCAGGAAGGGACTTTATTCCCAGACCAGAAAATAACCGTTGGGGATGTTGAAATGCCTATATGTATCCTTGGGGACCCAGCCTACCCCTTAATGCCATGGCTCATGAAGCCATACACAGGCAGCCTGGACAGTGGTCAGGAGCTGTTCAACTACAGGCTGAGCAAGTGCAGAATGGTGGTAGAATGTGCATTTGGACGTTTAAAGGTGCGCTGGCGCAGTTTACTGACTCGCTTAGACCTCAGCGAAACCAATATTCCCACTGTTATTACTGCTTGCTGTGTGCTCCACAAAATCTGTGAGAGTAAGGGGGAGACGTTTATGGCGGGGTGGGAGGTTGAGGCAAATCGCCTGGCTGCTGGTTACGCGCAGCCAGACACCAGGGCGGTTAGAAGAGCACAGGAGGGCGCGGTACGCATCAGAGAAGCTTTGAAAACCAGTTTCATGACTGGCCAGGCTACGGTGTGAAAGTTCTGTTTGTTTCTCCTTGATGAACCCCCCCGCCCCTTGGTTCACTCTACTTCCCTGTAAGCTAACCACCCTCCCCTCCTCCCTTCGATCACCGCTTGCAGAGCCAATAAAGTCATTGTTGCTTCACATTCATGCATTCGTTATTCATTCATCACACAAATAGGGGGATGACTACCAAGGTATCCCAGGAGGGGTGGTGGAGGAGGGAAGGAAAATGCCACACAGCACTTTAAGCACAGCACTTTAAAAGTGTACAACTTTAAAATTTATTGAATGACAGCCTTCTTTTTTTTGGGCAATCCTCTGTGGTGGAGTGGCTGGTTGGCCGGAGGCCCCCCCACCGCGTTCTTGGGCGTCTGGGTGTGGAGGCTATGGAACTTGGGGAGGAGGGCGGTTGGTTACAGAGGGGCTGCAGTGGCAGTCTGTGCTCCAGCTGCCTTTGCTGCAGCTCAACCATACACTGGAGCATACTGGTTTGGTCCTGCAGCAGCCTCAGCATTGAATCCTGCCTCCTCTCATCACGCTGCCGCCACATTTGAGCTTCAGCCCTGTCTTCAGCCCGCCACTTACTCTCTTCAGCCCTCCACCTCTCCTCCCGGTCATTTTGTGCTTTCCTGCACTCTGACATTATTTGCCTCCACGCATTCGTCTGTGCTCTGTCAGTGTGGGAGGACAGCATGAGCTCGGAGAACATTTCATCGCGAGTGCGTTTTTTTTTTTTCTAAGCTTCACTAGCCTCTGGGAAGGAGAAGATCCTGTGATCATTGAAACACATGCAGCTGGTGGAGAAAAAAAAAAGGGACAGCGGTATTTAAAAAGACACATTTTATAAAACAGTCGCTACACTCTTTCAGGGTAAACCTTGCTGTTAACATTACATACATAGCACATGTGCTTTCTTTACAAGGTCGCATTTTGCCTCCTCCCACCGCGTGAACGGATTTTGGTTGAATGCCAGCAAACATACACTGCAATGCTTTGTTCTACAGTGATTCCCGAGTACGTGTTACTGGCCTGGAGTGGTAAAGTGTCCTACCATGAAGGACGAAATAAGGCTGCCCTCCCCAGAAACCTTTTGCAAAGGCAGAACCGCAAATGCCAGGGCAAAGTAATCCTTTCACGTGCTTGCTTTTAAACCATGTATAGCATTTTAAAAGGTACACTCACCAGAGGTCCCTTCTCCGCCTGCTGAGTCCAGGAGGCAGCCTTGGGTGGGTTCGGGGGGTACTGGCTCCAGGTCTAGGGTGAGAAACAGTTCCTGGCTGTCGGGAAAACCGGTTTCTCCGCTTGCTTGCTGTGAGCTATCTACAACCTCCTCCTCATCATCTTCTTCGTCCCCAAAACCTACTTCCGTATTGCCTCCATCTCCATTGAAGGAGTCAAACAACACGGCTGGGGTAGTGGTGGCTGAACCCCCTAAAATGGCATGCAGCTCATCATAGAAGCGGCATGTTTGGGGCTCTGACCCAGAGCGGCTGTTCGCCTCTCTGGTTTTCTGGTAGGCTTGCCTCAGCTCCTTCAGTTTCACGCGGCACTGCTTCGGGTCCCTGTTATGGCCTCTGTCCTTCATGCCCTGGGAGATTTTCAGAAAGGTTTTGGCATTTCGAAAACTGGAACGGAGTTCTGATAGCACGGATTCCTCTCCCCAAACAGCGATCAGATCCCGTACCTCCCGTTCGGTCCATGCTGGAGCTCTTTTGCGATTCTGGGACTCCATCATGGTCACCTGTGCTGATGAGCTCTGCATGGTCACCTGCAGCTTGCCACGCTGGCCAAACAGGAAATGAGATTCAAAAGTTCGCGGTTCTTTTCCTGTCTACCTGGCCAGTGCATCTGAGTTGAGAGCGCTGTCCAGAGCGGTCAGAATGGAGCACTCTGGGATAGCTCCCGGAGGCCAATACCATCGAATTGTGTCCACAGTACCCCAAATTCGAGCCGGCAACGTCGATTTAAGCGCTAATCCACTTGTCAGGGGTGGAGTAAGGAAATCGATTTTAAGAGCCCTTTAAGTCGAAATAAAGGGCTTCATTGTGTGGACGGGTGCAGGTTTAAATCGATTTAACGCTGCTAAATTCGACCTAAAGTCCTAGTGTAGACCAGGGCAAAGTTTGCTACATGATGATCTGTATGAAACCATGATTGTGTTGCTTTCCTAGGCATATGGTTTTCTCACTGTTACGTTATAATAGAATAGAGACAGCACTTTCTCTCATGTTTAAATTGAAATAATCTATTTCTTGTATATCATATGCTTGAGATCATAGAACTCCCATTCTAACTCCCATTCTTAGTTACAATGTCACCATAAAGTGAAAACAGGCATTCGCATGGGACTTTTGTAGCCAGCATTGCAAGGTATTTATGTGCCAGATATGCTAAACATTCATATGCCCATTCATGCTTCGGCCACCATTCCAGAGGACATGCTTCCATGCCGATGACGCTCATTAAAAAAATAATGTGTTAATTACATTTGTGACTGAACTCCTTGGGAGAGAATTGTATGTCTCCTGCTCTATTTTACATGCATTCTGCCATATATTTCCTGTTATAGTAGTCTCAGATGATGACTTAGCACATGTTCATTTTAAGAACACTTTCGCTGCAGATTTGACAAAACGCAAAGAAGGTACCAATGTGAGATTTCTAAAGATAGCTACAGCACTCACCCAAGGTTTAAGAATCTGAACTGCCTTCTAAAATCTGAGAGGGATGAGGTGTGGAGTTTGCTTTCAGAAGTCTTTAAATAGCAACATTCCGATGCGGAAACTACAGAACCCTAACCACCAAAAAAGAAAATCAACCTTCTGCTGGCGGCATCTGATTCAAATGATGAAAATGAACATGCATCGGGCCGTATTGCTTTGGATTGTTATCAAGCAGAACCCGTCATCAGCATGGTCACATGTCTCCTGGAATGGTGGTTGAAGCATGAAGGGACATATGAATCTTTAGCACATCTGGAATGTAAATATCTTGCAATGCTGTCTACAATAGTGCAATGCGAACACCTGTTCTCACTTGCAGGTGACATTGTATACAAGAAGTGGGCAGCATTATCTTCTGCAAATATAAACAAACTTGTTTGAGCAATTAGCTGAACAGAAAATAGGACTGAGTGGACTTGTAGGCTCTAAAGTTTTACATTGTTTTAGTTTTGAATGCATTTTTTTTAATATAATTCTACATTTGTAAGTTAAACTTTCATGATAAAGAAATAGCATTTTTCAATTCACCTAATACAAGTACTGTAGTGCAATTTCTTTTGTTTTTTACAGTGCAAATATTTATAATAAATAAATATAAAATGAGCACTGTGCACTTTGTGGTAATTGAAATCAATATATTTCAAAATGTAGAAAACATCCAAAAATATTTACATAAATTGTGTTCTATTTAATTTTTTTAATTGTGCAATTTTTTAAAATAAAAATTGCACATTTTTTAATTGCTTGACAGCCCTAATTTTTATGTTCTCAAAGGTCAAGAGATATGTTTTACTATTTTAAATGAAACCGCTTCTTATCCATACATTACATGACAAGCAAACACAGCACTTAAAAGATGTTTGATTTCTTAACCCTGAGCTATTGTGTTTCTCAGATTTTCCATACAGTTCGTTTGTCTCTATACTGACAAATGAAAGATGCAAGAACACCTGAAATTACCAAGACAACCAGAAAACATGATTTTCTGTAAATATGTTTTTACAATTTAGATTAAATATGATGCATATTTACAGCATAAGAATGCCTGTAAATAAGCCAGTATTAAAACCTATCTGCCAGACAGAGGAAGTGACCCAATTTGCTGTAGGGGTTGATAGTTCAAGTACTGATGAAGAAATAAGAAAATGACAGATAATGATGGGCTAAGACTTTCCTGTTTGGAATCTAGCATGCAATACTACTTATATATAGCTCCTTATTTATATAGACCTGAGGCAGAAGGGTCCTTTAAAACAACTTGTGAGTTGAAATAAAACTATTTTTCTTATTTTTAACAATAACAAGAGTAACATATGAGACCTTGAAGTGTTTGCATGACTGTTATTAAATCATGTGAGTAACTGAAATACAAAAATAATTTAAAATCAAATAATTCCAGTTTATGAATACATGGAACATATATATTCAGTGGAATGTATTGGTCCCCTTCAAGTTAATGATAACTCACATTGGGTTCAATGGAGTTAGTACTTAGGACCTGATCCTGCAAATGAGTGATGACATGTTATGTGAGTAGAGATGCAATGGGTTTACTTGTGTAAGAGAGGACTACCACTTTGAATAAGGTTTTGCTCCCACAGTGATTAAAGATAAGAAATAGTAGTCCAAGTCCCTTCTTCTGATGCTGAAGTCTGTCTGTCTGGTATAATGAGAAGTATTCTGTTCATTTCTGTCTAGAAAAATACAATTCTGAATATTCTCACTATGTTTAGTATAAAGATCATATAATTTCCCATTACTGTCCATTTCAGTGCACATTCCCATAGCTAACACTTGACTCAAATTGTACTGTTTACAAAAATCTAACAGCATAAAATGGGAATTTAGAAGCAGCTGAAAGAGGAAATTTATCAAAGTAAGATTAATCTTGCTTGATTTTGTTATGCTTGTGGAAAGAATTATCAAGATGCTAGACAGAACTTATTAAACAGCAAGAAAGGAAGCAACACTTGATTTTTTTTTAAAAAGTTCTTTTCACTCAATCTCTATTACTGTTTTCTTGATGTTCTGGGTTGTCCTCTCTTATTTTCTCTGGTAGGTAGGTAATCCTTTTAATGTTCCACAATAAAGAAGGGATGAAGGGTAAACTTCCAAAATAGCAGAGGGGTTTTTGTGGGGTTAAAATGCAACCTAAACAGAGGGCTAACTGAAGGCTTAAGCCATAAGCCCCATTTTGACAGTGGGACTTAAGTGGTGCATATGTCCTGTGACTGTCCTGACCCTCTGAACAGGGGTAAACATCAAACCAAATGAGCTCCTGGCCCATTACGCTGGAAAATCTGAGGTAAATTACTGCTTAATGGAAATTCTTAACCAAAGGAGAGGGAAGAATGAAACAAAACAAAAATGCCTAAAAATTACAATAAATGAGAAACTGGATTGCCTCAAAACTCAGCAAATACCATCACTGTCACAATTTAATGGGACTATCTCTGCTAATCTCAAAGTTCTTAGAGGATGTCCTATTCTCTCCCAAAGATAAAGAACACAATAGAAGATCTATTAGAAAATTATTTATGTGGAATGACAGGTTCTGAAGAGGATCAAATATGAAACTTCTGAATCTAAAATTGACAAAACATAGCTGTGTGATAGAAACTGAAACATAAATTGATGGGAGAAGGATCAGAAAGAAGAGAAGTTTTTTTGGGCACAATCCTGCTCCCTTTGAAGTTGATGGGAGTTTTGCCATTGAATTAACGGGAGGAGAACTGTACTGTGGCTTACTCTTCTTTGTAATTAGAGGCAGTGATTAGAATATCTTTTATTGTGCACTGGAGTTTCCCTTGCAGCAAAAAAAGTATACAGTATTAACTTTAAGGTCAACTGAAACAGCATGAAGGGAGAAAATAGTTTGCCAGACACAAGCAGTAAGGAAAGAAATGTTATCTAAAGGAGTACTACATTAGAGGTAAAAATAAAAGCCTAAAATCAGTGTACTTGAATACAAGTTGAACAATCTTGGCATTAGACTTCAAGGGCAAGTTCCTCATTGTGTCTTTCTGTACATCGTGGGAACACCCTTCACCCCATGTTTTTCCTTATAAAAATATTGTGTGGTATCCAATGCAAAGTTTGTCATGTTGGGTATCTTCGGAAGGCTCATGATGCTCATGAGCATTGTTGTTATAGTAATGTTATGTTATAGGTTGTAATTTCATGTATATAGTGATGAGCCTGAAAATGTGTCCTCATGGCTAAACAAGCTCAGACAAAAACTCTCCAAGAGCAGAGGAGCAGTTCACACCTCATCAGGGCATGTAGGGGACAAACCCAGCCCAGTCTCACAGGAACAAAGGACACTGGCCTAGGCAACAACAAAGGATCTGTTGGACTCCCAAGTGAGTCACCCCCCTTCCTTTGGTCAGTTTGGGACTGCGATGAGGTCCCAAACTGCTCACCACTCTCGGGGGGAGAAGGGGGGAAGGGTGGGCAAAGCCAAGAGGGAAGAAAGGACATAATAAAAGGGAGAGATGTTTGCCATGCTCTTCCTCTCTCTTCCACCTCCATCTACAGATATCACCACCAAGCGACTGAAGCGCTGATCAAAGGGGAGAGCCTGGCTGGAGGACAACCAGCCAGCCTGTGGTGAGAAGCATCTCAGTTTGTAAGGGTACTGGAAATGTTAAGATCAGCTTAGAATGCATTTTGCTTTTGTTTCATTTGACGAAATCTGACTTGTTGTGCTTTGATTTATAATCACTTAAAATCTATCTTTGTAGTTAATAAATCTGTTTGTTTATTGTACCTGAAGCAGTGCATTTGGTTTGAAGTGTGTTAGAGACTCCTTTGGGATAACAAGCCTGGTACATATCAATTTCTTTGTTAAATTGACAAACGCATATAAGCTTGCAGCATCCACTGGGCATAATTGGACACTGCAAGGTGGAGGTTCCTAGGGTTGTGTCTGGGACCGGAGATATTGGCTAGTGTCATTAGGTTGCACAATCCAAGGAGCAGCTTACATGCCACATACATACATACATAGGCACTGACTTCTGCTGGCACCGGTGGGTACTTGACCCCTTCTGCCCCTGGCCCTGCCCCACCCCTGCCCCTATTCCAACCCCTTCCCAAAAGTCCCCACCCCTACTCCGCCCCCTCCCTGCTCCTATTCCAACCCCTTCCCCAAATCCCCGCCTCTTCTCCACCTCCTCCCCTGAGTACACTACATTCCTGCTCCTCCCCACTCCCTCCTGGAGCTTGTTATGCGGCAAAACAGCAGTTTTGCGATGGCAAGCGCTGGGAGGTAGGCAGAGAAGCGGGGACGTGGCATGCTCAGGGGAGGGGGAGGAGGTGGAGGTGAGGTGGGGCCAGGAGGGGAGCTTGGCTGCCAGTGGGTGCAGAGCACCCACTAACTTTTCCCTGTGGGTGCTCCAGCCCCAGAGTACCCACAGTCGGCGCCTAGGGGTAAGGCTGGCTCCCAGAGTCAAGGATTGGAGTGACCTAGCAGATCACCGGTCCAGATAACACCAGGGGAACGTAACACTCATCTGGTGTAAATGGTCATAGCTTGCCCACCTTGTAAAATGTCCAAAGCTCCAGTCACTTTTTCTTCATTCAAACTTTTTTGCTCTCTAGTTTTAAAGATCTTCTTAAAATTCCACTATGTAATGCAAACCCTTTAAAGATGTGTCTCCTTCCAATTAAATGCTATAATGTTGTACTGTGTAATCATCCCACTATTTTTATGTGCCAAGTTTTAAAAAATGTAATGTGTAATTTAAATAGAATAGGAGGACTATTTTAATGGATTAGTAGGACTTTTATGATTTCTAAGTGAGTAAAACTGTTCCTGTGAAGGGAAGTTGTCTGAACCAAACCTCCGCTCCAAGCAAAATTGACTGTAATGACCACCTATGAATAAGGGTATTATGAGGTGAGTACTACTGACACAGTTTAATAGGCTGGAAGCTGGCCAATACCAGCGTACAATGGGAAACTAAAGAGCCTTTCCTCTTGGCTGACTACTTTCCCTACAGTTTCTTCCTTGTATAAAAAAATTTACATACATGGTTTTTTTTAAAAAAAGAGGAATATACTCTGTCCTCTACTGCCAGAACTGTTCTATTCACATTTGTGGGGGTAGAGGCTGCAGTCCTACCACCTGTGGCATCTATGAAAGGCCTAAGATTCTGGAGACCGTGCTAAGGGCCTGAAAAATCCCACAAAAGCTTGAGGCTCTGGTCAAAAGCCTGTAGGCAGGCTATCTGGTGGTCCTGTGACCCATGTAAATGTAGAAAGGTGAGCCTCTGGCACATATCAAAATGTGTGATTCACTCTCATAGAGCAGTGGTTCTCAAACTGTAGGTTGGGACCCCAAAGTGGGTCATGACCCCACTTTAATGTGGTTGCCAAGGCCAGCATTAGACTTGCTGGGACACAGAGCTGAAGCCGAAGCCTGAACTCCACCCCCACCTGAGGTGGTAGGGCTCAGGCTGCAGCCCTCTCTCCCCTACCTGAGGCAGTGGGACTCGGTCTCTGCCTACCTGCAGGGGTCATATAGTAACTTTTTTGTCAGAAGGGGGTCACGGTACAATGAAGTTTGAGAACCCCTGCCATAGAGGGTCTTCCTCTCTATCAAAACAGAGGCCCCCTGCCACTCATAAGGGATTCTGCTGTAGACACCAAAACCCATATAGCCCCTCCTTCAATGTTGAAACTGTGGACCTCCCTGACTTGTACAGGGCGTCCTGCAAATGTTAAAATGGGGTGATCCTCATGCAGTCCTGCTGCCCAGATTGGATGTTATGCATTCAACTGGGCTGCAGGAATGGCATCCACCTGTTCTTCGCAGCTACCATAATGCTTGCTGGGGAAGCAGCCTACTTTCACCACTTCCCCCTGCTGGATCTGAACAAGGAGAGAGCCACCACCTGCAAAAACATGCCAGTATTTGCCCTAGGCTCCCCACCAGACTCTTCTATCCACCTAGCTCCACCTCCAACAAATCCTGGCTTCTCTCAGCTGCCATTTTCCCAAGCTATCCACATCCACCCCCAACTCTTTCCCCCACCTTCTTTAAGCTACCCAGCTGCACACTTTCACAAACCTAGCTACTCCCAGCTTTGCAAACACCCCCAACAGCTGCCAGTCACCTCAACCTGCTCCCCCCCCAGCCCTCCCAACAAACCTAGCCAACCTCCACCTTCCCTCCCCCAGTTATCACCTAGCTATCCCCAGCCACACGTACAACAGTCCCCTTAGACTAGGCTCCAGTTTACCTCACCTCTACAAACCCAACTGCTGTTAAGGTTGCCAATTTTGGTTGGACATATTCCTGGAGACTCCAGGACAATAGTGGAGGGTTGGCAACTCTAGCTGTTGTTAGCTGCCCCCCCCCGCCCCCAAAACCCTCAATTGCCTCAAGTCATCCCCTTAGACGGTCCCTACCTACTCCCCAGATGCTCTTCAGCACCCACCAAATTTTGTGCAGCCGGGTAGCTTCCTCCTCCCCCCATCCACTGCTGGGGGGCAAGTTGTGTTGATCTTAAACTGACGTTTAGGCTACAAATCTACATCCTCCAATTCTATGCAAAACATTTAACGACATAATTTTCATACAAGTTCTCACATGGAGCTGTACAAAATGTGGCAGCTGTGGGAGGAGCAGGAGCTTTACCCCTTCCACGGGTGTGTGTGAGAGAGAGAGACACCGAGAGGAAACACCACCGGGCAAGAGCCCTGTTGTCACTAGACGGGACCCCTTGCCAGCGGGGTGCCCCTTTCCCGGCCCCCCGTGCCCCAGAGAGGGGTGGGCGGCCGCTGTGCCACTCCAGCGGGAAGGTTGGGGATGAGGCAGCTTAGGGCTGGGCCCGGCCCGCCTCGCCTCCCCCCTCCCACTCTTCGTGGGTCACATGAGAGGGGGCGGGCGGCTTGGGGAGAGGCAGCAGCTGCTGCTGCCAGGGCTGCGCTCGGGGCGGCTGCTGTGGGTGAGCGTCTGAGGGGGGCGACGGGACAGGGGCTGGGGACACGCCCGGGCCCCGCTCAGCCTCTACTGCTCCCGAGAGTCCTGCTCACGGCGCCCGACATGGACGAAGAAGGCGGCGGCGGCGGCGGTGAGTGGTGGAGTTGGTGTGGCAAGCCGCCGGGGCTGGGGGAGGCGGTAGAGGGGGGCTGGGCCGCCGGGGTGGGTGGTGGCTGGTGGCTGGGACACGGTCTCCTGAACCTGGTCTCTTTTGCGTGAGGCTTTGAGCTGGGGGACATGCCCCGCCCCCCGTCCCCGGCTTTCCCCGGTTGGGCGCTGTGTGTTTGCTAGTGGGGAGCCGGCAGCGACTGTCTCCCTCCCTGTGTGGAGCGTCCTGCTCTCAGGGAGACTCTGATCCTGTCTCCCAGGCGCGAACACCCCACCTCCGCTGCGCCCTCCTTGCCATCGCCTCCCACCCGTGCTGCACCTTCTCGTAGCGCCCGCCACACCCCTGGCGCGTTTCCTTCTTGCCTGCCCCCCACCCCATCTCTTTGCTCCCCTGCAACCACCTACCACTCCTGCTGAGCGCCCTGGGATACCCCATGACTCCCACCCTGCGCCCCCATATCCACATCCCCGACTGTGCCTCCCCCGCATTTAATCACATTTAATGCAGAGCACTTACCCCGTACTTTCACTCTGTCCCCTCGACCCTGCCGTATTGTACTTCTCACCCTTCGCCCACTTGTGTTCCCCACCATACATCCACTTTGCCCTTCCTTCCCTCCCCCACATAACAATCCCATTCATACACATGTCTCTCAGCCCCCGCACTATCCTCCACAGACCTTCTTTTTGCATATTTATTAATGTCTCTTGGGGGGAAACCAAGGGAAGTGACTATAATAACAAGTAGTGAATAGTTTTCAGGCTTCTACATCCTGAATAAAGAGGCATGTTGTTGGAGGAGAAGTGGGCCTTATCCTTCTGGCAGGGATGTGCAAGTACCGCCAGTCTTTGCTGATCCTAGTGTAGGGAGGGACTCCTATTAGGATTGACTTGCTCAAGTTCCATGTGCTAATGACAACAATAGAGGGCTCTGTGCACCCTAATTTATGAATCTCCCCTACCGCCAAAAAGGTCAAACATTTCTGAGGGAGGAAAAATGAATGCACACTTGCTTAGGGTCTGTGTGAGAGTGCTGGAAAAGAGAAGTAGATTTAAACACCCTGACAGTAGAACTCACTGTGTGCATCTACATTTGGCCAGCTCTCAGGTTGACTTGCCCCCATGTTGTTATATTGACAGCCAGTTGTTTGTTCTTGTGTCTCGATGCAGTGAAATCATTGCACACTGTATGCAGCTGCTGCTCCTATCAAAAATTATGTGTGTGTTTTGCAGTAAATAATGTACAGTGAAAAGGCTAATTATATTCTGCAACAGTCCTGCATTTGTGTGTAATTTTAATGTAGGTGCAATGATAATCACTGAGTGGTTCATCCAGTTTACACATGGTAAACAATTTCCATAGGCAGTAATGTAAATGTTTCCAAATATACATCTTAGAAAATTAGGACATGCCTCTTTCACCATCTTTTAGTACAGTTGTGACCTTTTAGGGGTTAGTTTGTACAACTACAGTACATGAGCTCATAGACCCCAAACAGATTTGCACCAGAGCTTTCTCTGTTTAATCTAAAATGCATTGTCTGTGTTAAGATTTTTGTCTGACGAACCAGTTCTCAATGCCATCAGTAATAAGGATGCTGACTAACTGTTGTCCATATCAGAGGTAGTTTTTCAGGATGAGGTTGTTAATCAAGATGTCTTCCAAATAAAATATTCATCCATACACAATTACTGTTTATATTTGTTTAATTATAAATATGTCAAGTAATGAGTGGTTTGATTAGTAGTTGTAACGTGATTGCTCGTCTTAAAGTAGTAAGGGAAGAACTCTGAAATAAAGTGGGTGTGGTGTTTGTTTTGACAAGTGGAAAAAATGCCGTGATGAACCAGTAACATCACAGAAAAACATCCTACAGACAGTCTGTCTGCAAACATCAATATTTCTCAGCAATTATTTCCCTCAGCTGTTTTGTCAATAATAGATATGACTTTTCTTTAAAAAGAAGAAAAGGGGAAAAAAAAGTGGTTTTACTACTACTAATACTAATGGGAAAACACTGTAGTAAACAGCAGAAAAATAGTAAATTAAAGATTTAACGTTTTAAAACAACTTGGTATTACATCAAGGGTATATCAACAGTATATCACTGAATGTTCACATATATGAAGGATACATTAATATGCTTGTTTATTGACATTGAATACATCTAATGTAGATATTTTTCACTTGTATGAGCTTGAATCAGCCAAAAATTCTCACTTTCACACTGCAGAATATGTGAAAAATTGGCTTCTTCAGCCTTAAGGTCCAGTTCTGCAAGGTACAGAGACCCTACTTTGAGGTTCTGAGTACCTTCAGTTCCCATTGAGGTCCATTGGATTTGAAGTACTTGGCACCTTGCAAAGATTGGCACCCTCAAAATGGATCTACTTATTACTGAATAAGTCACTTCTATTATTCTTCTCGGATTATTTGTCACATCTCATTTAATAAAAAATGTACTATTCAAGGTGGTCAAATTATTGTATAGTTTATAAGTGCCCTTATTCACTGTTATAATATTACGGATCCAAATAACTGAAACTGCCCCGTCTCTACATTAAGTGTATTTGAACTGTTACATTAGCCTTTTGTGATTCATAAGAAAAGGCCTAATCCTGCTTTCCTTTCTTGTTCAAAACTTCCATCGGTAGAGTAGGATTAGTTTAACATTATTTTAAACTAACTAGATTTTGGAATGAGAAGTGGTAAGAAAATTGACCATATCATGACGAGAGATTATATATACAGAGTGAAGTGTCAACTTGAAATCTAGTCAATTTTAAAATGAGTTAGCAGCAGTTTTAGCTACACCTGCCCTGAGTCTCCGTGCTGATTTCTGAGCTTTTAAAATTCCATTTTTACTGTGTTAAAAATAGTTTTCTCTTGCCTGTTGCTGAAAGATCCACGTAAAGAGGTGTTAAATTCATAAAAATAAATGAACTTGACAGTGTGAATCAGTGGCTAGGGCACTGGACTGGGATTAAGGAGTCCTGAGTTCGGTTATCAGCTCTGTCATTACCGTGCTGTGTGAGCTTGAGTTCACCTTCTTGTGCCTCCATTTCCTCATCTGTAAAATGGGAAAAATTATATGCACCTCTTTTAGTAAAATACTTTGAGATATGTGGATGAAAACAGCTAGGCATAATCATTAAAAAACAAAACTAAAATTTGATAGAGAAGCTGTCAAATGTAGGACATGCTCCCTACTAGTTTAAACTCTCTCTTTTCCCCCTCCCCTCACCACTTCCCGGTAGTCTAAATGTGGGCATAAAGGCCCACGTCATACCATCTATTGTCACACAAAACTTCCATTGATTTCAAGGGGGCTCTGTGCATGGAATAGGAGTAAGATATGATCCAAATTAATTAGTGTTTATTTCAGCCGTCTGTTGTGTCCTAATCACAAGGATCTTTGTACTTAATTTAGGAGATGATGTTGATTCCACTTCCTTCCCCAGCTTGAAATGATGTCTCTTATGACTTTAGTAGACTGAAGTGCCTCTTATATTAATTGCTGCAGTTAGCATGGTACTAGTATTGCATTTGGGTATCTGAGGTCCTTGCATTTGGTAGCAGGTGTTATGGTTGTGTAGTGATAAATAGTGAAAGTTTGTTTTGAGATAATTTCCAGATCTTGAAATTCTTAGTCAAATCAGATCATTCTGCCTAAAAAATTTATGGCAGAATATGGCTCCAGGTATTTTGTATTATGTTCGTTTTCTTGAATTTGAGTCCAGTGCCACTTAAGCAGTTGTTGCATATTCTCTCCCATTCAGGTCATCAGGAGTTCTGCTTACGAAAGAATTACTGCAAGATCAGTCGCTTACTCATTTTTAAATTAGTAGCTTTCTTTGGTCATTGGTTTTTAAACAAAATAAAAGTTAACTTTATATAAAGGTGCTGAATTCACGGAGGTACAAATCCCTCCACCCTCCCCAAACAGCTACAGCACAAGTAGTGCAATGTAAATTTCTCCATACTGTTCCCTAAACTGTTTACTTCAGTCATGAACTCTGAGGCATTTCTTTGGGTGAAAGAGTAATTCAGTCTTTAGGTTCTTTCAATCCTTGACCTCTCTGTTGGAACTGCTAATGAGAACGCCAAGCGTGGTGGTGTTGGTTTCTGTGGTGTAGGCACCTGCACAGGAGGAACTAGACTGAAACCACCAGCACATTTCACACAGGCCACAGAAGAACGGCTTACTGACGAAGCAAATGTAGTAAGTCTGCTTTCACTCTGTCTAAGTGGAAAAGCAGAGTTATCCATTTGTAGGTTTAAGGATGATAAATTTAATAGTAAAGGCAAAAGTGCCCTGAAAAAGACAGGTAAAAGAATTAAAACTGGTTTTCAAAAAAAGTAATTTAAATTATGGTAGGAGTTAAAAATAAATATTCTTAGGCTCAAGTCAACCTTTCTGTGTCCCATATTTTCCATTTCTCTGTAAAAGCCTGTAGAAGGGAGAATATGCACTGAAAAATCCCCTGGAAATTCACTACATCATATATTATACACAAATATTTCTTTTCTGTGTTTGGAACCATAACTATATCCTGTATTCATATAATATGATATGCTTAAATTCCAGCAGTAACCAAAAAGTGTGTTAACCAGTATCTATTACATATGTCTAATTTCAGAGCACCAGGTCTGGATAACTTGCACCTGTCGTTGGTCAAGAATCCATCTAAGGATTGATGATAATTAAAAAACAACACAAAAAAACAAAAACCTGGGGAAATTCCAAATAGAGAGAGCCTGGGTTCTGCCAATAATTAAAAAGGGTAAATGGGATGACCTTGGTTTAGTCTGGTTAGCTGGACGTCGATCGCAGGCAAAGTAATGGAGCAGCTGATATGAAACTGAATCAGTAAAGTACTAATGGACAGAAATATAATTAATATCAGTCAGCATGGTTTCATGGTAAATAGGCCTTGTTCTTTGATGTAATTACAAGTTTGGTTGCAAAAGATAACTGGTAA